ACATCCATCCATTCAATCACTAGACACACCTCTGGGAGGATGGATGTGCTTCCAAATCCCAACACCTCACCATGTAACAAGAAGAGCAGATGCAAGCCAGGCCACAGGGCAGTGCTCCTATAAAAGAAGCCTGGGATTCATAAGATATATTGTAAGGCATATCAACAATGTTTTGCAGATGCTTTGCTCCTTCTTCCAATGCACGTTGGGGCTGGCACTTCCCTGCCCACAGCCCAAACATGGCTTCACCTCTCCAGGACTAAAGCCAGCCAACACCAAAACCAAGAGAAAATAACAGCAGAGTGGGTTTTCTGCTAGGTGGGTGAATGCAGCTCATGAGAGAGCTGTGCCATCAGCAGCTGCCTGCAATGACTCAGAGCAACAGAGCCAGCCTTGTACCCACTACACCAGAGGTGCCCAGGCTCTCAATCCTTCCCATAATACAGCTGCAATAAAAATACTACCCATCACTGCTGACAAAATTCTAGTGAAAAAAAAAACCTTCCCAAAATTGAACAAGAAAAAAGAGCCTCCTTGCAATTACAGCATGTTTTCAGACCCTCTCCTACAACATGGCAAGAGCAATGAGATGCTGTTTGTGCAGATACATCTGGTGCGTTGACACAGCCCGGAGCAGGGAGTCCTTCAGCTGATCAATCTTCTCTTTGAGATTCTGCAGTGATGATCTAATAATCACATTGAGCTGCAGGGAAAGAAAGAGATTCTTTGTCTAAACTGTATTTGCATCACATTAAATGCTATTGCATGCAGGTAACAATGCATTTACTTTCAGCTATACTGGTGGGAAGGACCCTATACTGAACCAGCCCACCTCAAAGACCCAAAGAGAACACCACAGTTAATAATTTTTTATGCTTACATCACAAGATAAATAGAACTACTTTCACAAGCACTGTTCTAATGCATTGATGCTGTTTAATATGGGGAGCTTTCTTTTAAGTCTTTCTAAAGTGATTCCTTTATATGGGCAAAGTATTTCAGCACATTTTAATATTTTCCAGCTCATTTTCCAGTCCTTTCCTCTGATCTCCAACAGAAATAAAGGCGCCAGCTCCCGCTGCCACTGGGTTTCTTTCCCAGCTCCCACGAGGGAGGGAAGCTGAGTACAGGTTCAGACATTCCCTCCACTGAGCTCTTCCAGACTTTGAAGATCCCACAGACATTCAGCTTCCCCCAGTGCCACTTCTCAGCACCATCTATGACACCTGCCCATCTCCCTGCCCAAGGCTCGGGTGCATCTGTTCCTACTAGAAGTACAGTTAAGTTGTTTGCATTTTTCCCTGCTCTGAGCAAGCTGAGATTTCTGGGAACCCTCCTCCTCTTTCCTCCACTCCTTCCCAAATTAAATCAGCATTGTCTTGGGCAATGCCTACTGAGAAAAGCATCAGCACAGCAACAGAGCAGCTTGAGCAAAAGCCCCAGACTCCATCAGAACACTCAGTGCCTCGGGCTCACTGGGACTTGCTCTCCAACACCTCCAAACAGAGATGGAAAGCACAGCCACACTGGTGCAATTTGAGAGTGCACAACCAGACAGCAACGAAACCCACACTCAAACACAGACAGGCACTAAAGCAGCATTCCCAAAGACACAATGGGGAATGAGTGCTTTCAGGAAATTGTGTGCAGCATTCCCTTTAGCTCTGCAATATGGTAATGAAACATCTTTTCATTTCACATTTCGTTTCCTGCACTCATATGCAGTTGGAGAACGCTGCATTTAACGAGCACGACAAAGGAACAAAGGTACATACATCCAAGAATGTCATCCAGCACACAGATTGCTGCTGCTCTGGCCAGAAACTGTGCTACAAACAACTCCACAGAATCACAGAATGGCCAGGGTTGGAAGGGACCTCAAGGATCACAAAGCTCCAACCTCCCCACCACATGCAGGGCGACCAACCTCCATATTTAGTACTAGACCAGGCTGCCCAGGGCCCCATCCAACCTGGCCTTGATCACCTCCATGGATGGGACATCCACAGCCTCTCTGGGCAGCCTGATCCCACTTCCATTAAAGACACAAAAAAAAGAGAAAAAAAAGAAAAAAAGAAAAAAAAAAGAGGAAGTTTTAAGATCAGCTCAATTGAGCAGAGGTCACAGATCATAAGAGCTGCCTTGGAATCATTCCATACAGGTTTCTCTTCCCTTTTTCAAATTTTATGCTCGATGTTTACTTAGCAATTAGCAACGGGGCTTTTTTTTAGCAATGCTAACAGCAAAACAGGATGAAAATATGAGCTTAGTCACGTTCTTCCTGCCAGGCAAATGCTGCACACACACCTTCATGCTGTAGAAGCACTCAGCTGTCATGGAATGCAGCACTGCTCAGCCGTGAATTTCTCGACATGCGTTTCTGTTATGAAAACAACTCCTCATTGTGGGACACTTGTTTGCAGTTGAACCAAACACAGCCAAATATTCACCTTTAACTGCTAATGGATTAAGTGAAACTGCACTCGGAAAACACCAGGCATGGAAGGAATGACGTGAAGAAATAAGCATAATGTTTCCACAACACAGAACCCAGAGGAGCTGCGCTACCAGAAAGGCTTCAAGCAGCACCAACACAACTCGTGTGTGCTTTTTTTTGTTTTGTTTTCCTGGAACATCGCAGACCACAGCAACTCAAACCAAAGAACTTTGTCCTCTATAAACACAGCACAATTAAGCAGTGCTCTTACTGCCAGCCTCCTACTGCTCCAACACAGCAGTTTAAACACAGAAACGCCTTCCTTTTGAAAGCAGAGTTCAGTCGCCACCGTCATGCGCTGCAGCTGGAGAAAACACCCCGATCGCTCCCAAAGCCTCTTTTCAATTCATGCCAAATTCGAGTCTCTCGACAGAAGCACCGATCGTTGCGCAAAGCCCACACGGCGTTCCTCAAAGCAACGCTTCAATATTTCAAAGAAATCATTTCCAAAACGCGACTATGTGACAACAGCTGGCAGCAAAGAGGCCATTTCGCGTCCCATTACAACTCAGCCATAAAGAAGGGTCCCCAGGCCGAGCCGGGCCCCGCGCCGTACCTTGGCCGAGCTCTCCCCGTTGCGCCGGTGCCGGCTGCGCTCCTGGATCCGCTCGGCCACCTCCTGGGCCAGCTGGCAGGCGGCGTCGTACTGCGAGAGCCTGAGGGACGGGAGGGAGAACGGCGTCAGCGCGGCGGGGCCCGGAACCGCCAACAGACAGAACCCGGAGCCTCGGCCCAAAATCCCGGCCCCACAGCCCGAGGCCGAGCCCGCTCCCAGCCCCCCACAGCCCAGCCCAGCCCAGCCCAGCCCCCGCCCCGGCCGGCCCTCACCAGGGGTCCGGAGCCATCACAGCCACCCGGAAGTGCAGCTACCGCCCGGAAGTGTCCGCGGCCCGTCCGTGTCACGTGACGACGGCGACTGCCGAGGCTCAATCCCCGCCGGCGCGAGCGTACGAGGGGACGGAGGGTAAAAGTGCGCGCAGGCGTACAGCGCTCTGCTGCCGAGGTGCGCGATGTAGCATTGGGAGCTTTATGGTGTAAGATGCGCAGTGCACGGATACAGTGGTGCACGGCACGCAGAAGTCCAAAGGCCCGCAGGTGCACAGTGTGCGGTGCGGAGTTGCACAGCGCCAGGTGCGGTGTGGGGTACGGATGTGCAGGGCGCGCGGTGCACGGCGCAGAACTGAGCCGTGCAGAGTTGCAGGGCGCAGAGCTGGGTGCTGCGCCGTGCAGTGGGGTGTGTTGTAAATGCACAACGGTCCGTGAGTACAGAGATGCACAATATAAGGCACAGGGGTCCGCAGCTGTAAGGGTGTAAGGGTGAGCAGGTGCACGGCTTAGAGGTGCTGAGTGTGTGGCACACACTTGCACAGAGCAACGCTGCGGATGTGCACAGGGACGTGGTGCAGAAGTGCACAGCGCAGGGTGCACGGTGCACAGCACAGGCCATTCGCAGCCCTGGCAGTAGGAGGGCTGAATGCCATATGCACCGCAGTGGTACCGACCCCCATCCCCTGTCCTTGGCCGCCTCCTCCTGGGGTGACATCCCCATGGCATGGGATCCCCGTGGCTGGATGTTGGCAGCATGTGGGCATTGCTATTGCAGTGGTGTCATTATGGCCGTGGGATAAAAGGCACCGCAGCCACAGGGTGCCCTATGTCAGGGGACAGCAGTGGGGAACGGGCAGGGCAGAGGCAGAGGGCAGAGGAGGGGTGAGGATATCCCGGTGTGCCCAGGCTGTGGGACCCCAGGCCGTGGGGCAGAGCAATGGGGAGGAGTGGGCAGTGACATAGGCTTGGGGGCAAGGCCATGTGCTTCTTTCCCATCTTCCAGGGAGCAGAGATTTGCTGTCATTGAATTTTGCTTCAAAGAAAAGTCCCCAGGAGCAGGCAGGGCGTGATGCTGGGAAGCTGTGATGCTGCCTTGTTGACACTGTCAATATTTGGGCTGCGGATGGCTCCTGAGGGACCTGCAGTAAAACCAACAGCTCCAGGACTTACAGCAGCCCTCTTCCAATGCACATTGGCACTGGGGCTCAGTGTCCCATTTGCCACAATCTTATGACGCACATCACTGCCGATATGAGCAGGTGCCCTAAAAGTAGTGACAGCATGATAGTGATGTTTTATTGGCCTCGTTATATGGCATTATTGCATTTAGCTCAGTATGACACACCTCACATCACAACCACGGACACAGCAGGTCCTGCTACAGGCACCCTGAAGCCCCCACCCTAAACTGACCCCCAGCACAGGGCTGGCAGTGCCTGGGTGCAGGCAGCTGCATCAAACATTGATGCCCCAGCTGTGCAGCTCAGCCAGAGGCAGCACAGCACACTCACTACATATTTAATTTTTTTCTCCATTAAAAACTCTTTGAACATCAAGCCATGTTGCGTGGTGCCCAACTCGCTCCCATCTCACATCCTGAGATTTATGAAGGAAGAAGATTCTGTGCCTTAAAAGAATCCTGCTGCTGAGTGTTGCCTGAATCATGGATCCTCGCCGTGTGCTTCTTTCAGCTGCAATGGGGCCCCTCCTCAAACTCAGCTCTTATGCCCATGAGCGCAACACAGTTTGTAATCCTGCAAAGCATTTTGAGGCAGAATCAATCAGTAGCAACAGTTTCAAATGGGAGAGGATGGAAATGCTGAAGTATAGAAACACACCTGGAATTGTGGTATTTTGGGGCTCCACGGAGCAGCTGCTGAGCTGGGAGGTCCAGCAGGGGATGCTTGAATGCACTTTGCCACCCCTTCACCATTCTTTACCCAGGACAGTGCAGTGGTGCCCCATCCGTGGAGGTGCCCCAGGCTGTGGATGGGCCCTGGACAGCCTGAGCTGGAGGAAACCAGCCCACGAAGGAGGTGAGGGCTGTGAGGACCCTTCCAACCCAACCATGCAGTGGGGTCTCTGGTTTTGCTTTGTCCCCAGATGCCTCCAGTGCTTTCACCCACTGATGCTCCCCAGTGCTGCATGTGGCACTCACTGCCCAGCCGAGTGCAGCGTGCTGCAGAAGGGCATTGTTTTGTCCTCACAGCCCCAACCCCTCTCAGCAGCTGGCTCCCAGCCCTCACCGTTCACATGCTCCAATTCCTCACTCCCCAAGACCCGCACCATCCAGCAGGAAGCGGTTCCCAAACCATTTACCATGTTTATGCTTTCTCCGCTCAAGGACGGTCCTCCCTCACCCCCTCACCTCCCTCCCTGCCCTGGAGTGAACATGAAATAAAGGTTATCCTTGAGAAGAAAAACAAACCACGTGGCTCAATAGCCGTGTTGCTGTTTTGATACCTATCTCATCCCCTCCCCAGCCTCGGAGCAGCGTTGGGCACAAAGGGGTGACCAAGGTGCGGGAGCTGCTCCACCCCTCGTGCTATTTACACCAAACACGTGCCCTGTGTGCAGAAGGTGCATTAAAAGCAGGGCAGCAGCTGCAGCGGGGCAGCAGCACTGGGGCTGTGTGCAGTGTGTGCATGCTGCAGGTGGGGCTCAGCCTGCCCCGTGCCCCCAAAGGGGCAGACAGAGCCTTCCCTGCACAGCTGGATGGGGATGGCGGAGATGGTGATGGCACCAGCACTGCGCAAGGTGGGTGAGCACCATAGTGGGGATGGGGCCTGGGATGGGGATATGTCCTGGGTCAGGTGCTTGCAGCCATGTGGGCTCAGATTGTGGTGCTACCTATGGCTTCTCTCCTACTGCAAGCACAGGGGCAATTTGGGAATCATGGCAGCACCCAGAGGTATAAATAACCCTGCTGTATCCCCATTGTTTTAGCCTGGTTTTTATGGCCATAAGCGTGGCTGTGCTGAGTGTTCCTGTGTGACCCCCTGTGTTTTCAGCCTGGTGCTCTGCCTGAGTCCCAGCCTGGCTGCTCAGAGCAGGGTGAGATGCTCTGCAGAGCTGAGCTGGCCGTGCTGGCTGGGCTGAGCCTGAGCAGGAACCAAACTGAGCCAGCACGGTGCAAGCAGACTCGGACCCGGTCCCCTGCATGTGGCACTGTGGCTGTGCCGTGCTGTCCCTGGGTGACCCCCTGGGTCCAGAGCAGAGAGGTTTGTCCCTGCACAAATCCACAGGTGGGAGCCGAATCTCTCCGCCCTCTCCTGGCTGAGTGAGCACATCTAACATGATATACCGGAGAATTAAGATGTGTGCTAATTGGCTGTACCCTGCTGGCTATTAGCTGCCTATCACAACTCCGATGGAAACAAGCGGGATGTGGGGCTGAGCCCGACGGTAACACCAAGGAAAATACCTCTGCTTTCTCTCTAGGAGGAGCTCAAACCCTGCTCACAGCGCTGCTCTGAGTGCAGCCATTCCCATTGCCAGCGGCTTCGCTTTAGACGGTGCCGGGTCGCCTGGCTGGGCTCACGGGGCGCACGGGGACATGGGGAACAGGGACCTGCTGGGGGGCTGCCCCTGCTCTCGCTGAGCCCCCAAGGGATGGGGGCTATTTTGCCCTTTCCCTTAGCAGGGAGAGGGTTTTGCTGTAGGAGGAGGTGCTCTGGGACCTCGCTGCGCTGTGGCAGGGCGGCACTGTTAGCGGGGTGCTGTGTGGGATTAAAGCTCTTTGTCCCACAGTGGTGCTCAGCTCCTCTCCCATCACCGTCGTGGTCACACCAGAGGATGACACGTGGCACATCAGCGGTTCTTGTGCGGGCAGTGGGCCATTCGTGGACTGGGACCAGATGCCGGAGGTGGAGCAGCCGGCAGATCCACCCGAGGACGCGCTCAGCCGGCCTCCCAAGGAGCTGAAGAAGCTGGCGAGGGAGGGCTGCTGGGCTGCCAGCCGCGCGCTGAGGGCTGCAGCTTACCAACGCCTGTGCCAGCGCGTCGCCTGCCGCCTCGTCACACCCGATGCCCTGGTGTATGGGGATGTGGCTGCGCGGCTCTTTGGAAAACACGGCGCCAGCTCCCACCCGCTGCCCGACTTCCTGGCGGGGTGCTCCCTGCCCACGTACTGCCTCAACATGGATGGGGTCACAGCGCTGAAGAAGATCCTCATTTGCATTGGCAACCTGTTCCCTGACATCACCTACAGCCCCGCGCTGCCCTCGCTGGTTGCTCTGCTGCTGCACTACAGTGAGGATGAGGCTCGGTGCTTTGAGAACATCTCCCGCCTCATCGCCAGCAATGCCCCGCACACCAGCTACATCGACCAGTCCTTCCTGGCTCACCAGGCCTCCTGCATGACGTTTGGGGACCTGGCCAACAAGCACTGCCCAGCAGCACACAAGCTGATAGCCAGCACGTCTGAGAACGTCTTTGAGGTGTACTCTGAGTGGCTGTCGTGGCTTTTCCGCGACCTCCCCTTCAGCTACGCCATCCGCGTGTTTGATGTCTTCCTGCTGGAGGGGCAGAAGGTGCTGTACCGCATCGCCCTGGCCCTGCTGAAGCAGTACCGGCTGTTGGTGAGCTCTGCCGAGCAGGAGGGGACTGACACCAAGGCAGAACTGCAGGTCTTTGTGCAGAACATTGCCCAGCACATCACTGTTGACAAACTTCTGGAGAGAGCGTTTGGAATCCGGCTGTTCTCCCGCAAGGAAATCTGGCTGCTGCAGATGGCCAACAGGAAGGCATTGATGGAGAGAGGCATCACCATGGTGCAGGGCAGGTAGGAAGCCGGCCTGTTTGCCCACAGTGCCAATGATACTCTTGGGGCAAAGTGGGTCAAAAATGGGTTCTAGTGGAGATGGAGCACTGGGGAGCTCCAGTGTGTCCCTTGGCTGTGGTTATGCTGCGCAGACACTGCTGGGATCATGCACCCCCAGTGGCACATAACAGCACATTAGGGGTACACCACTGAGCACTGACACACTCCTCTCTTTCACAGGCAGTCCTTCCACCTGGCCGTGGACATGCAGAGCTTCAGCTCCAGCATTGTGTCAGCTCAGGAGATGCGCATCATCTGGTCCTGGATCCCCGAGCGCTTCTCCCTCTTTCCCCCACTGCTGCTCTTCTCCACATCAGAAGATGGCTGCAGCCTGCAGAGGTGAGCGTGATCTGCTGGGCAGTCTGATCAGGCAGATAGACATAACATTGGGTAAGAGTTGCTGGTATAGAAAGGAGAAACTGCAACATCTGTGGGACGTATCTGAGGTCTCCTGGGGACACTCCTTAAAGACCCTGTGAGCAAGGAGTGCTTTCTTCAGTGGCACGTCGTGCTGAGGCTGCACAAGCAGGCCAAGCTCAGGTACCACCCGTGACGGGGGAGACACCAAACCCTCCAAACTCAAGCTAAGAGAGTCCAAGTGCCATAGTCAATGCCCAAATCTGCAAGAAGTGAGGGAAGTGCCAAGGACCCGGTGACAGCTGCAGAGCAAAGGGCATGGGGAGAGCAGAAACATCCCCACAATGCTCCGTGCTGGGCATTTCAATGACACACAGTTCCAAGCTGCATGGGGACAAGGTGCAGGGACTGCCTGGGGGCTGAATGCTGCCCACTACATCAGTGGCCTGTGGTTTTTTCATGGGGTTTATTTGGGGTTGCTGTAATGCTTGGCATAGTGTCCATGCTTGCACCATGAGCATGCCCTCAGCTCAGGGGAGATGAGTGAAGGCCACAGAGCAAAATGTCCCACAGTGTTTCACCTTAGCACAGCAGCAGTGGGGCTCACAGGGTGGGTGTCAGGCACGAGCTTAGGCTCCAGGTGGATGAGAAGCACATCCAGAATAAATGCAGGCTTGCTTAGGAAACTGCTCCATGGAGAGTGCCCCCAAGTCTGGTGCTGAGAGTACATGGGTGGATTTTATGTTTGGATTTATTACCTGTGAATTATTACCTGTGCTGCTGAACAAAAGTGATGCCTTAGAAGTCCCAAAGCCAGCTCCCCAATGCCGGCACCAGCAGAGGAGCTGCCTGAGCTGTGTCCCTGGTCTCAGCCCTGCACCAACGCAGCCTCATTGTGCACTCCCAGGTTTTACTCGTGCTGTGAAGGTTACGAACCTACGGTGCTGCTCCTAAAAACAACAGAGGGGGAGGTAAGTATTTCCTGAGCAGGGAGGTGGCTGTGCTGTGAGACAGGGGAAGGTGCCCCCTGCCCCACCAATGCTGGCTCCATCACAGTGCTGCAGAGACACCAAGAGGCAGCTCAGACACTGGCTAAGGGGGGGCTGCTGGTTAAAGAGGAGTCTGTGAGATGGAAGAGGCCATGAGAGAGGCTTTGTTGCACATGGAGTCTAAACCACGAAGCCTTTGCTAAGCAGACTCCTCTGAAATCAGCAAATGCTTTGCCTTAGCAAGGACTTCCTTTTAGTGCATTAAATGCAACAATCCCTCCTTGACTGCAAGAGCAGCCACACGAGGCAAATGGAGTGAAGTAAGGATAGCTCTTAAAATACTTGAAAGTCGTGGAATAACTGCAGAACTACCTGAGCCAGGCATCTTCCCAGGGACTTTGAGAGTGGCTCATAAACCCATATTTTATGCCTGCACTCTCCATCAAACAGCAGAGGCAAGCTCTGTAAATGGCTCAGGCATCCTAGAGATTTATTGGCCAACAAGTCCTGACCTCCCACACCCAGCACTCGAGTGCAGTGAGGAGAGAAACACTGCTGCCCCCGGGGCCTTGTGCAGACAAGGAAAAGTGACTTATAAAATCTTGTTTCCTGCATGTTTTAGCTCATTTTCTCCCATACACAGTCTCAGGGAGAGGCAGAGCCTTTGCTGTGCTGAGCACACAAGAGCTGGCCTCAGTGGAGGCTTCCACCTGTGTTCCCTGACAGCTCCCTGTGCTCTCTCCTAAAGGTGTGTGGGGCATTTCTCTCCTCTGATTGGAGTGAAAGGAAGAAGAACGGGCTGACATCGAGCTTTTTTGGGACAGGGGAATGCTTCGTGTTCACTGTAAGTCAAATTCATGCTTATGGGCTTGTCTTTCATTGCTACTTTATTCCTCTAACTCCAGGCATGGTGGCACACCATCCTTTAGGATGTTCTGTTAGACCAGAAAAAAATGGAAAACTATCTCCCAGAGCATCCTCAGTGACAGTGAGACAGTGTGTGCTGCAGGGAGGGATCCTGAGCTGTCCCTTCCCTGCTGCATGTGTTCCCCACACCGTGTGGTCCCCAGGCAGCCATGCAGTGATGCCCCAAGGGCTTTCTTTTGCTTTCCAGGTGCGCCTGGAGATGGAGAGGTACGAGTGGGTGTTCATCAAAAAGCCAGAGCTGGCCAAAGCCATGCCACGCTCACGCCAGCGCTCACCATCACCCATTCCCACACCTCCGCTCAGCTCCTCCCCAGACAGCCGCAGTGCCAGCCCCAACCTCCTCACCGTGCCTGCACCGCAGAGGAAGGGCCGCCTGTCCCCGTTCCTGGCTATCAGGCATTTCCTCCTGCCTTCCAAAACAGCCTCCATGTTCATGTCCGGCTCTCGGGAAGGGATCATTATCGGTAATTACCTAATGGCAGGCACCTGGGTCAGCACGCAGCTGCTTTGAAAAGAGCTTCCCCTCCAGGTTAAAATCCAAGCTGTCCATAAGGCAAAGACCTCCTGTCTTAGTATATGTGCCTAAAGTCAGGGGAGATGAAGTCAGTCCCCTCTTTCTCGGGTCAGCAGGAGAATGAAGGGCTGCACAAGGGCACAGATGTCCTTTCTGAGAGCTCCAGAGCAGGTCCCAGCTGAGCAGGAGCCCTGCATCCCAGACCTCTCAGCCATATGTGGCAGCCATGCCCTTCCTGGCCCTTTCCTCTGCATCTTGAACGACTGAGAGGAGATGCGGGTGGGGAACAGCTTGCAGAAGAGCCAGGCATGATCCCCTGGGGCAGATGCACCAGCTGTCTGTGACAGCTCTGTGGAGTGGCCGCAAGAAATATTGCTGAGAGATGGGTACAATCCCAAGACCTGGCCAATGTCTGCTGGGGCAGCAAAGAGTGACCACAGATCCCAATGCCTGCTGTGCTTTTGCAGGTGGAGGGGGAGGCCAAGCACTGTCCCTCGATGCCAACCTGCTCTGGGGACGCACGGAACCCTGCGAGACCTTTGACAACCCTCCGCTCTGCCAGGAAAACTTCAAGGTGCAGCTGCTGGAGGTGTGGGGCTTCCAAAACACTTAGGTCCCATGGGGTCAGCTCCTCACTGTGCTGCTCACCATGGCTCCAGCATGACTGCTGCAATCCCTGTCAGCAGCTCTGTGTGTGCCTCTGCTCGCTGTCCTCCCCTCCACTGTCACCAGCCATGGTTGCATGAGGATGGCCATGAGTGTCATGAATGAGACTCCTCAGCTCAGACACAGCTCCACCTGCTCTGCTCCCATTCAGGATGCTGGAGGGGAGGCAGGTCACTGTTTTCTACTCTTCCCAGGTCTGTTTGTGGTCAGCAAAGCAGCCATACCACAACACAGGCAGCCTCTGTGGGAATCTTGAGTCTAAACAAAATCCAGCACCAAGGTGCAGAGTTCACCATAAGAGCTTCCCACACCTCACCAAGCCCAAGTACCCCCTTCAGCCACGTGTGGGTCATGCAGTCTGGGTTACCAGGCCTCACCTGGGCCAGGCACCGATGGCCATCCAACGTGCTGCAAAAGACTTCTTGTTTGTTCTCGTTCCAGCCTGCTGATTGGAAAGCAGCAAGGCACTGCCTGGCATTTATACCTCTGCAGCCCACGCAGCCTTCTCATTTTTGTGTTGCCATAATTGCAGCGAAGAGCCCATGTAAAATTGTATGCTGTTAATATATGTGAGCCTTAATGAGCATATCCTGATTACGTGGCTCCAGGCTCCTCAGTATTTCTTGCTGTCTGACACCTGCTGGACATCCTGTCCAGCTCCACGTCCCTCAGAACTCCCTCTTTCCTTCCAGAAGGCCACTTGCCTTCTGCAGGGATGTGCAGGGTGCCTGGCAATGCACAGCCCTCCATCGGCCATCCAGCCTGACCTTGTGCTCCAGCACACTGCCTTGGGAAGGGCAAGCAGCCACAGACACAAGGACTGCTCTGTGGAGCCCTGGGTGTGCTGCAGAAACCCACAGGTCCCTTCAGTGCCCTGCCTGCTGTGGACCCCAGGTCAGAGCTGTAAATCACAGTGACTGCTGGTGCACACCTTGTAACCCGACGAGTCCCTGCCATGTCTAAAGAGATGCTGCACTACTTTCCTCCCTATGCTTTATTCCATTACTGCATAAAGCTCAAAATTCTTGGAGAATAAAAAAATAGCAGAGATGCCTGGCGGCTCGGGAGACTTCATGGGCTATGAAGAGCTTTCCTAGGGGCTCAGCACTGCCCTGAGCCCAGCCCTGCCCTGAGCCCAGCACTGCAGCCCGGTCCTGGCTCCGCCCGCGGCCCCGCATCACAGCGCCCCCTGCTGGCCGTTACCATGGCGCCCGCGACGCCATCGTGAAGCCGTGGCGATGGCGACGGCAACGCCGGAGGAGAGGGAGGCGGGGAGGCTGGAACTGCGGGCGGCCATCGGCTTCAATGGTACCTGCATTACCTGGGGGGAGGAAAGAGGGGGGCTGTGGGGGCAGCTAGGGGCAGCTGGAGGGGGAAACGGGGTACTGTGGGCGCAGGTGGAAGGGCTGTGGGGCACTTGGGGGTCACGGGGGGCAGGTTGGGGGCAGGTTGGGGGGCTGTGGCTGTATGGGTGCCTGGCCAGGAGCAGAGCTGTGCACCACGTCCCTGTCTGGGGGCAGGAGCTCAGGGAGAAGAGATACAGGCTTCAGAGCAAGCAAATTCAGGCTGAATAGAGGGATCCGCTGCTTATTTATGTCTAATTGCCCAGCTTACTGGAATGAGAGAAGCTGCGTTTCAAAATAAAACCAAATCCTCTGGCACAAAGCACAGCCGAGAGCAGCCCTGTGGTTGGCAGTGGGGTCAGTAATTGGGCTTTGCAGCTGCCCAACTTCTTGGGAGATTTGCAGCTGCAGAACTGGTGATGTGTCCTTCACAAATCAGCAGCTGCTCATGCAGGACCTGCTGTGATGAAGGGCTCCGTCCTCAGGGCCGGGTGGATCTCCTGGTAGCAGTAGAAAGCACCCAACCTCTGTAAAGGGCAACCCTGAATTGCATATGGGATTGTGCTGCTCTGCGTGGGAGCCTCTCGGTTTTGCCCTGATTGTGAAGTCTAAAAGTTTGGGGAAGTGTGAGCAGGAACTCTGCCTGCAGTCCCAGGGCGCTGACAGCCAGCATGCCTTGTGCTTTGTCCTCTGGCAGGACACATTGCCTCAGGCCTGATCTGTCACCCTGACAACAAGCACCTTCTCTACCCGCTGGGATGCACCGTGGTTATCCAGGACCTGGCCAGCAAGAAGCAAAGCTTCTTGCAAGGTCACACCAACAACGTCTCCTGCATCGTCGTGTCGAGCAGCGGGAACTACGTTGCCTCTGGACAAGTCACCTTCATGGGCTTCAAGGTGGATAACCCTCAATCTTTAACCACATCACACTGACCAGAAGCGTGGAGTTCTCTCTGAGCAGCAAGAGTGCTTTTTACTCGTTTTTAATTTGCCTGTAGTGGGAGAGCACTGCAAAGAATGGGGGACTGTGGCTGCTCTGCTGTTGGACGTGCCTTTATATTTTGGCACAGTGTTAAACACTCTCCCTAGGATCAGGGTAACTAGATTGAGGGATTTCTTAGTCCTGGTCCTTTTTATTGAAAGTGGTGTGGACATGTGGCAGCCTAAATCCCATTAGATGTTAATTAGTAAATACTGTCACATTTAAAGTTGTTAATGGTTTAATTTTTTAATGCTTATTTGAAAAGAGCCTGAGGCAGTGGGAAGGAATCGGTTATTTGCTTTTTCAGCACTTTAAAATCTCAGTCAAATACTCTTCCAAAATAGGTTTCACATAGTAAACTTTGATTCTGGAATGAATCAGAGCATCTAAGCTGGTAACTGGAGTAATACCAGGTACAGCACCTAATGTGAAGCATTTCCCTATTGCAGTGCACTGGGCTGAGATAAGCCAACCTTCTGCTGGGCTGCTTCTGAGAAATTCCCTTCCTATCAGAGCACTTCAACACTTCACAGCTAATGCTCTGGCTTTGACTTCTGCTTTGGACTGCAGGCAGACATCATTCTGTGGGATTTTCAGAAGAAGGAGTTGCTTGCTCGGCTGTCACTTCATAAGGGTAAAATTGAAGGACTGGCATTCTCTCCAAACGACCTTTATCTCGTGTCGCTGGGAGGCCGGGACGATGGCAGGTAAAGGTTTCCCTTTCCTGAGGAATGATTCCTGCCAAGCTGCAGGGCACTGAAGGACTAACTGAAGCTAAGGGGGTGCTCACTCCTCCTTCCTCTGGCACTCTGATGACATCTCTTTAGAGCATCCCGTTTGAGGGAAGCTGGGTTGGCACACCAGCGTGTAGGGCAGGGAAAGATGAGGGGAGCAGCTAATTCTGAAGTTGGCTTGGTCAGCCAGAAACGATATGACAACTGCATTGTTGTACGGTCCTGAAGAACTACAAGTGGGATAAAAGGCTATTTTAAATTAGATTCTATGTGAGATATGATTTGACTCTTGCTCAGGAGGAGGAATACAACAAATGCACATCCCCACCTCCTTAACTAGAGATGTAAGCTGTGGAGGAGGACTGGAGCACCTCCCCTACGAGGACAGGCTGAGGGAGCTGGGCTTGTTCAGCCTGGAGAAGAGAAGGCTGCAGGGTGAGCTCATTGCAGCCTTTCAGCACCTAAAGGGAGCCTACAAACAGGGGGGGAATCAACTCTTTGGAAGGGCAGATAACAGCAGCACAAGGGGGAATGGTTTGAAGTTGAGGGAGGGGAGATTCAGGTTGGATGTCAGGGGGAAATTCTTTACAGAGAGAGTGGT